CCCGTGTGGGAGTTTGCAATGAAGACTCCTTTGAGAAACATGCATGGGTCAAATCCCCCCCGCATTTAAGCAAAAAAAACTGCATGGATCCAAATCATTTGCAAACACGACAAACCTGAGATCGCAAGCTATGCACTTGAAACCAGCTGGCAAAGTTGGGAAATGGATTTTCATCACGGTTTGTGCTTGACAGGAGAACGCCCTGAGTCCTTGTTGGCCACTAGTCAGGTTTGCTCTGGCTTGTGCAAGCCAGCTCAACAATAGGCGGCTCTCAAAATTGGGGGAACTTACAAGTGGTTGATGCCGTGTTTACTTCCCCTTAAGGTATGTTGGAACCTGGAACATATGTTTAGCACATTTTGCATAGTTCCAGCGTTTCCCTAGCTTTTCCCTAGCATATATCCACAACGTTCGTAGCTTGGACATTGTAGCTCCCACTTATGTACAGTAAGAAAACACATCCCGTGCTTTCTGGCATATGTTTGGCAAGGTTCTAGCCTGTATCTATAACGCATGTAATTTATACATGTTGATTTTATTTCTGGATTTGTCCAGCTTGCTTCCGAGGTTGCAAAGTTGCGGAGTTCTCTTTGGTTTCCCGTTCACAGAAACGAAATGAAGGAACACAACACCTGATATTCGTCGGCTGCCCAAAACACATGATAAGAAATTCCATTGTTGTTTATCACAATGGTATTCCTAAACAAGTCTTAAGTCCGGGCACTCAACAAGACGCGAGGCAAGAAGCTAGGGAACCTAAACAGGCCTGAACTGAAGTTGGCATGGTTTGTGAGGTAGCTTACTTAATAAGTCCGGGTGCTCAAAAAGGACGTGAGGCAACAAGCAACAAACACAAAACCCACTACTTGGTTGCTGTTCCCCCCCCCAAAAAAAAAGTTAACTTGTTGGGGGGTTTAGGGTAGAGAACGCCCCAATAGTTGAACCAAAATGTTAGGGTCTAAAGATCCAACCATAGGCGGCCTTTCGGAAAAATAGATGGGTTTCCCTGGTAAATGGAATAAGGCCCATATACACCAGCGCGGTCTATTTTCATCCAAACTCACCTAAGAAGGACACCTATGGATCCAGCCCAACAGCAGTCAAGACTCAGTCCCCCGGGCGCCCGGGCGGTGTCTCGCGGCGCATGGCCTCGCCCAGGCTCAAAGCTTCTTGCCAGTGGCTTGAGCGCTGCAAAGCGCCGCAAGCCCCGGTGAAGGAGACCACCTGGTCTGGAAACGGTTCAAGGGGTACCTTCCGTTTCCATTCTTAACCAGGGGATCCGAATCTTTTCAGGAACCAATCAAAACCCAGCGGGGAAACATCCGTTGTTTTATTGAAAAGAACGATGGTTGAAAAGAATGGACAAGGAATCAACCCCTAGAAAAAGGGGTTCCCAAGCCTGTCGGCACCTGGGACATTTTGGCTCGGAGCCTGGAGGGCGATTCCACAAAAGCTTCCGTGTTCTGAGAGTTGTTCAAACTGGGGTAAAGGGGTGTAAGGAGGGGTAAAGGGGTTCCAAAGTGACACCCTTCAACCCAAACTCACACCCTTTACCCTCCTTCCAACCTGGGAGTTTCTGGCTCGGACCCTGGCGATTCCAGAGCTAGGACTTGGCAGACTTGGTTCCAGGTAGAGTGGCCCACATAATCTTGGTTGACGTTGAAAGGGGAGCAAAAATTGGGAAAAACATAGCAGGTAAGTGGTTGGATTTCAACCACTAAACCACAATAAGCCCAACATGTCAAAAAATGCTTCCCAACAACCATGATTGGAGCTTCCATGTTCTGAGGGAGTGTACCCTTCCAAACCACACTGGCCAAAGGAGTTCCCAAGCAGTTCGAAGCCCAGTCTGCTTCTAGAGGGAGGGAACTCTTTGGCTTGGTATTTCGGAGACAAGGAACCAAACCATTTTCAGGGATCACTGGGAGAAACACCAATACCTGTTGGCTTATTCTGGAAGCTATCAATGGGCAATTGAGCGCCCCGCACGAACACTCTAAGCTGAATGGAAAGCCGACTTTTTCCAAGAGGTCTGAAACAAAGCCGAGGTGAGTCACAGTCATGTACGCCTTTTGGCCCGTGAAAAAAACAACTCGGTGGACTAAAACCCCACAGGAAACTGCTTGAAAGGTCTGTGCCTGCGGCAACCCACCTAATCAAACGGCGCTTCAGGCTTTTTTTTGCAGTGCAAAAACACTGATTCTTGAAAGGGACTTCAAGTAACACCCAGTAGTAGCCACCCCAGAAAACTCTGATTTGGCAACCAGGGAAAACAATGGGCGCGCCTAAGGTGGAGGTGGGCGACTTCGCTACTTTGGAGCGCGTACAGATTCAAAGGCCGCTGTGAAACGGACCTGAAAACGGGGGCTTGCTGCTCTTTGAGTGTGTTACCAACCCCCATCTTTCCCCTTAGAAAAGCCAAGGGGCCCCCGGGCTGGCGGAAGAGTTTTGCGGCGCACTTGTATCATGGTAAGGGCCAATCTCAGGGAAGTCTCGTTTTCCCATGGACAAGCCATGACTCTCTTTGACGACGGGGGGGGCGACTTCACGACTCACCGTGACAATTGTACCGCACCGTTTCCCACGAAGAACTAGTCGGTGGCACACCCCCTTCTCTCTCTTTGACAACATGTTACATGTTCTTCAAGCAAAATAGAAAGACTCGGTGACTCGGCCATTTTACCTCGGGCCCACATCTTGCGTTGCAATCCGAACACGCCATGTTCAGTGGGGGCGATTGCTTGTCGAGTCTTGATGTGGCCTGTGTGCATGATCCATGTCTTGACATGCGAAGGTCGAAGCAACCTGAGAGCTCAGTGCAGCATGAATATCACCAGCTTTGCCACAGTCCAATTTGCGGAAAACTAGTCTCTATGGGCATTGGTAGATTTACGGCTCGTCTGGTCTTGGTTGATTTTCCAGAGCCCAATGGTCCTCATGACCGCTCAGTCGACTTAAGTAGTGAAATGAATTTCGAGAGCCCAACATGTCCACCATAGACCAAATACTTGACAATTTGACTAGGTCCTCCAGTAGAGAGGATAGAATAAGGGTACCCTTTTTTTCTGTAGTCTATTCTAGTAGGGGAACCCTCCCCAAAAAAAGTTGGTAAAAGGGCACCTAGCTCGGGGACCTAGTTGACCAAATAGCTCCTCCTGCAAATCATGGTTGACGTTGGAAGAGGAGCAACAAATTACATTTTAGCAGTTAAGTGGGGATGTCCCACTAAACCACAATATGCAAAAATGTAAAATGTTTCCCAACAACAACCATCAAATGGGGCTGAGGTGCCCACTACACACCGGACCAGCTTGGGCTGCGGCATCTGCCTTCGAGCTTCCGCGCAACTCCTCCAGCAGGCCAACGGCCTCGCAACCGAGCAAAGGAAACGAAGAAAGCGAGGCTAGGTCCTCCAGCAGCGAGGTTAGAATAAGGGTGCCAACTTTTTCTGTAGTCTATTTTAGTAGGGGGAACCCCTCCCCCAAAAAAAGTTGGTAAAAGGGCACCTAGCTGGGGGACCTAGGAGGGGATAACGAATTGCTCAGTTCCCTGCCCGCGATTTTTTCAGAAGGTGATCAAATTAGGACACCTCCACAACTCGGGCAGTAAAGTCAACAAGTCAGAAGTCGGATGTGGATCCCGGACTTGGAATCCCGAGTCATTCAAAGTCTTCAAGTGCCATGTTTTTTTGGGCACCAGCTCCGGAGCTGCACCGGCTCAGGATCCAGCAGCCAAGCAAAAACTGGTTTCACCAAGCCTTTTCTTGCTTCTCAGGAAGCCCTCACAGGGATCCTTACATGACAACACCTGAGCATTGCAACTTGTAAATGGTGGTTTCCCTTTAAAAAGCCCTCTAAAAAGCCCATGCTTCGAATAGGCAAAATGCATCTTTTGAGGAACCCTGCTCCACCATCCCTGTTGAAGGGATCCACTGGTTTCCTGAGATTCCCGGTCAAGAACCAAGTGTTCGCGTCGCCTTCGCGGCCGAAACAAACCAGCCTCCTGCCACAGACCGCTTCGAGAGCAAGCAGAAATCGTGGCGTTGTAGGCAACCACCTCGCCGAGAGCATGTTACTCCAGCGTGATCCGCACGCACCGGCATGTGTCTGCAACATTAGGAGACCCATCCAAGTGTTTAAAAAAATACCAAAAGGGAACCAAACACAAAAAAAACTCACCAACAATCTCAGACGTGTCATGGTTCAAGGCATTGAACATGGCCAGGAGTGCAAAGGTTCCCCAATCACAGAACAATGGAAGCGGGTTCCAGGGGCTGCCCCAAATAAAAACTAGTCATCCAAAAACCTTCTTTCAGCTTCCAGTAATTCTAGAAGGGTAGTCCGTCACACCAAGCAGAACCCCCCAAAAAGGCCAGGACGTGTTTGACTCCTGAGGCCCGCGCGTCCGGCTTCAGATTGCGCCTTCGGCTCAGGTTGCGAACCCCCACCCCCCAGGGTCCCGATATTTGTTAACATCACATCAGCAGCAACTCACCAACTAAAGCGGAGGATGAGTTCAGCCCTTGAGCGGCAACTATTAGCATGTCTTGCCAAATGAGGGAGCTCACCAAAGAGGCTTCCTATTGAAGTCCCTTTTCAGCCCACCGAAAGGCGAGATCCACTGCGATGCTCTCAACGCAAGTCACTGGGCGAGCGTGCCCACCTTTTTTTTTCTCCCCCTCTGGCACCGCCCCTCGCGACTGGTGCTCCCGGAACGGCAGGGTCCGGTGCTGTTTCCCCGGACGATTCATCACCCCACTCAAAGCTGACGCATGTTGAGAAGGGGCCACGAAAAGCTGAGATGCTCAAGCCAAACAGGCCATTAGGTAATATTTGCAAACCACCCTTCAAGCGGAAAAAAAAATGAAAAACCACCTCAACGGGGAAAACAATGCAAAACGATCAGGGAACCCCAAACCCTTGGAACCCGGACTCGCACCATTGGAAGCGCCGCCATCCGGCGTTCTCTCTCCGACGGATCGATCCGGCTCCGCTCTGCGCTCATCGCAGGCCGCCACTGCAGCCCCAGAAGTTCGCCACCTCGAAGTTGAAGAGATGCGCCCACCTTCGTCACTCTAGGGGTAGCTTCCCCAAGCCACGAGTCGACATGGATTTATTGTTGTTGGAATAGGGAGGCTTACAACATGATTAGACTTAGGCCCGGTTATGTTTATAGACAAACAGGTTTCTATGACTAGACTTAGGAGTTGTAGAATGTATATTCCATTCTTTGCTTCCCGTGGAGTCACTGGTAAAATGTAAAACGTATCCTAAGTCTACCCCAGACAACTGGCGCTTTGCCCCTTGGAGCCAACCCCAAAACACAGGAAGTTGACGTGTCAAAGTCGTGCGGTCGTCACGTCTTCGTCTTCGCGAAGTTTCCGCTTTGCCCTTTGGCAGCTCCAAAAATGCAACCCCACAAATCACGAGCAGAGGCGTCAATATAGTGCACTACCGGCGCTTTGCCCTTTGCCCCCCAAAGCACGGGTTGAGGTGTCAAAGAATCGTGCAATCCTGTGGATGGACGAAATGCTGCATCAGTTGGAAGGTGGCTTATCACATTCAGTGGATGTGATTAATCTCAACTGGTGCAGAAGTGTGTCCTTCTACAGTATTGCTCTCACAAAATGGCAATGGTTGAGAAGCCTCAAATTCCATGTTGAAGGGCATAGATCCCTTTCTTAGCTACGGCGAGTCATGGTGCTATAATGCTCGGTCTACCTGCAAACAGTGATATGGCTCATATTTTCGTGGTTTCCACATTTCTCAGGAACGCCTACATAGGATTGTTATGTTGAGACAGACTTCAATGCCCCACAATACCGCCAGATTGGGGTTTGGTCCAATTTGGTTTCCCTGTAGTTTCCGTTTTTCCATCAAGCTTTTCCTCGGTTGGAGGGAAGAGACAGGGTAGATGAAGGGTAGGGAGACAGTGCCCAACCACACCTGGGCGCGACCGCCCTGTTAGTTCTGGACACTGCACATGGCTTTGTGTACCAAGGTATTGGGAGACACCCTTGACTGAACTCCTTGGATCCACTGAAATCGGCAAATCACATGTTCCCCATTAAATAAAAAAGAAGCGTGGGTCAATATTACTCTGTACTCGCCAAATCTATATATATATATATTTATAATTATATATATATATATATGTATATATGTATATAGTTGATGCTCGAAGCCGCCCTTTTGAGGGGAATACGGGATGGAGCCCGATAACTCGCCTAGAGTTGTCCAATATTCTGGAACTGATCCCACACAAACCCACAGCAACTACATGAGTCTCAAACTTGACGGGAACCCTTTTGTGCGCATCACTTCGTTATACTTGAATACTTATGTCCACTTGCGTGTTACAAAGTCAATCCATCTCCCACCAAACGCCCCCTTCCTGCGCGGTTCACACCGATCCAACGCGCCGACTTCACAGGGCCGGGTGAGCGTCAAAAGCAACAACGCAGTGAACCAGGGAGCAAAAGAAGCTTGTCTCAAAGGAGTTCATATAAGGAATCAAAAGAGCTAAAGCCACTGATGTTGCCTGGGTTGTGGTCACAATTTGTGCAGCCAAGCTGCACATTTGCAGCTATTTTCAGGCCGCGAACCACTGGGCGGGACTCATGAAAGGTACGCGCATCTTGCACCTGAGCTGCCACATCGCCACGACGGCCAGAGCTTTTGGGACTCAATTTTTAAGACCCCTCTGTCCGGAGTCAAAGGAAAAAGGAACCTTTTGAGGGTGTCTTTGCCTTGAGGCAAAAAAATGGCCCCCAACGGAAAGGAACCTCTTGACCAGACCGCCTCTTGAGGCCAACAAAAATGGCCCAAGCTCCTTTCTCGTCCCAAGGCGCCGCGGGATTGTGCGAGAGCACCGAAGGCCACAGAAGCGCCGAGCCCTTGCCTTGGCGCAGCAAAATAACAAAATGTCAGCCGTCAGCTTATAGCTTTTGCCCCCGGGCAAAATGTCCGTTTCGCAGCACCGTTCAGAACCCATGGTTGAAACCACTGGTGGTCACAAGTGGAATCAAATCATTCCAGGGTTTCTTGGGTGGTGCGAAATGTCCATGTCGCAGTTCGGAAAGCCCTGCTTTTTTTTGGGGGTTGTTGTGTTTTTTGGTTTTTCTTTATTATATTTTATTTTTCTGGGGGTTCTGCACCAACCAACTGGTGCAGGGATTTTTGCTCAGCCACTGTAGGTCTGATTCTGGTCCAGGCTTATGCAAACGAAGTCCTCACAAATCCGCCGGCTCCAAAACACAAAGCATCAAGCGTCCCGCCTTGCTCCAATCATAGTTGGCATTTTCAACAGGACTGCAACTGTTCACGACCTTTGTCAGGCCTTTGTCAGGGCTGCGGAAACTCAAGGAAACCAAAAAGGGAAACTCCTAGGAAAGTTAGGTTTACGCAAAGGAAGTTTCCAGCTTCCTGTCATTGGGCTTGAATGCGAACCAAGCATCATGCTGTCCATTCTCTCCGAGTTCTGGCTGCTAAGATGGTTTCCATGCCCCCCAAAACCAACCCAAGCAAAAATGGGGGGGGGGAGGTATCCAACTTCTGGCTGTGGGCTGTGGGCTCCCTCCCCTCACAGGATGCGGATCAACCCAGAGTAGTGGGCGGATACTCATGCCATGCCATGGATGAACTGGAGTCACTGACATCGAGGCAAAACTAACTCTGAAAGCCAAAAACCAGGGAACGTATCGCCCAATCTTGTTTTGAGAACCAGCAAACCCTACTACCCTCCTCTCCACCGGCAGCCGAGGCGCGGGGCTTCACGCTGATGTTCAGGCGCGGGAAATTCCTGTCGCAAAAGTTGAAGACCCAACTCTGACCCACCTGGACTTCAGTTTCAGGACCCAGTTCCCGCTCCGAAGAGTCTAGGTCCTCCAGATTTGAGAGCTTATAAGTTGGTACCAACTTTTTGTCGGTAGGCTATTTAGTAGGGGAACTCTCCCCCAAAAAAGTTGGTCCAAGGGCACTACTGGGGACCTGGGAGTGCAAAGGAAGTGATTGGTCGGAGATTCCTATATACACCGAATTACCTGTCATGCAAAAATACCGTGGAGGGACGAAATCCTGCACCGTTTGGGTGGATGATCACAGTATTCACAGGGCTTCATCCATCCCAACTGGTGCGTCTGGTGAAGGATGTTGTCCATCCGCTGTACGCTATTGTTCTCATCCTGATTAAACCCTCAAACAACCGACACGCCCTTTCCCAGAGCGTGAATCCCCAAGGTCAAAGCTTGTTTTTGGTGGTTTCCACAATTGGGCAAGGACAAGTGCGAAAACACCGACAATTTGGGGGGTCCGAGTCCCTATTTTCATGAGTCATACCCATGGTAGACCCATGGTGTGCAAGTTTGGGGGTCCCAAGGCAAACATGGCAAACGCCTTGGATGTGGTCAATGCAAGGAGCAGTCCTCTCTCCAATCATAGAAGCTGACAAGGGTTGGACGTTCCTCTTACCCCCCCCCCTTGCACTTTCGTATCTGTTTGAGTTTAATTACACGCATGAGTGTCCCATGATATTATGTAAACTGGATTAACGGTACACGACAGTACCCGCTTCTAATTTTTTAGATCCTTGCACTGTTGATCTGGGGCCAAGTCGCGTTTCACCGCCCTCCTCCACATCTGACAAATACAGGAAGAAGGTGTATATGCGCGGGCCACAGGCATGGTCGTTGTCACTGATGTTGTTCATGTCGTGGTGCTCCACATACTTCTCACCGATGGCATAGTTCCTCAAAAACGAGCAAAACTTCAAAACCCTTGGTATGGTAGCAAAAAACTGTGTTTTGCAGCCCCTACTAAACATGAACAGAACCAACAACTATATATATATATATGTATATATATATATATATGTATTGTATATTTAAAGCTTGCGAAGAAAAGTGAAGAAACACCTGCCGCCCGTGGCAAGAACCCCAACTACAAAACCTTGAAGCCTGCGGTGTCTCTGGCGAGCCTCAAGAACTGCATCTCCTCAAAGTTGGCAGAGGGCACTTGGATCACATCCGAGATTCCTGACACTTCCGAGTCCACGAGCCTGAGACTCCAACCCCCAAACCCTCTGATGTTTAAAGGGGGCACTCTTTTCTTGCTAGTTCCGCCACATTGCTCACCCCACCCCACCCCAATTGGAGTGAGTGGAGCCCACATCCCGGCCGAAGCCAAAAATCAGGCCGTCCCGCTACGGGGAAGGGCAAAGTATGAATTAAATCCAATAGGCCTTAGGCAGGTGATTTCAAAGGGAACCTCTCCCCCTTGAAAGAAGGGCACAACTGGGTGTAAGTCTCCGCTGAATTTCCCCGTAGGTTTAGTCTCCACCTTCGATCTCAGTTGTCACCGCAAAATTGGGACCCGTGATTGTCGCAATGCAAATTTGGACTATTCGGACAGCAAAAGCGGGCACCCTGCTTCATCCGGGGAATTTAATCCGAAATACGCATTGGAGACAACGTGAATCCAAAACTGCAAAATCCAAACCCCATGCGCAGCGTTCAAATCCAAACGGAATCCTGGATCTTTCCACTGGATTACCACGTACCAAAAGAGCTTGTCAACAAACTCAACCGCATGTTTTGGTTGAACAGTGACTTTCACGAGGCTAGGTGACCTTAGGCTTCATGGCTGTCAGGAAGGTACTTTACAAGTCCCTGCAAATGGATGTGTGTGTGTGTGTGTCAGAACAAGGGAAAGTGTCCTTTTGACTTCCTTCAAACGAACAACTCCCCAACATTGGTACTCTTACACAACAATGCACACGCAAAGAAAACATCTAGGCTGTCTGGGCTCCTCTCATCGTGCGCACTGAATCTGGCAAAGATTCTCTCCCTCACAGCGAGGTAGCTTGGAGACGCTTTGCAAGTGTCTAAACACCAGGCTGTCTTCGAGGTTCTCTTTGAAGATATGATGCCCTGTCACACGAGCGTGGCTTGGGTTGATGGTATACTCTCTGTTTTGTGAAGGGAAATCAAAGAAAACACCCCCACACACACACACACAGACACACACCAATTTGCAGGCAGGAGTACCAAACTCTCCACCCACGCGACTGGAAGGCATCAAACCTGACCGGGCCGGGCCAAAAAGCTTCTGCCGGCTTGCTTTCGTCATCGTGTCGAGTCTGGCCTTCATGAGTCCGAACTCATCATACTCTCCTTGATCGGAGGACCTCTGAAACTCCTTGACGTTGGAGAGCATATCCGCGATCTCCGCCTCCGAAACGAAGTTGTCAAAGGTCACAATCCTTGCCAAGCGCTATGGATCGGGACCATGACCCAGACCTCCGGCCCACGGGAATCAAATGCACCTGGTTTGGGCTAGTTGAATATAACTAGGTCCTCCAGTAGAGGGGTTAGAATAAGGGTATCAACTTTTTCTGTGTCTATTTTAGTAGGGGAACCCTCCCCAAAAAACGAGTAAAAGGGCACTACTGGGGGACCTAGATAAAGAGGAACACCCAAAAAGGAAAGAACTGAACCGGAGGTCTGGGACTACCAACGATTTCATCCAAGTGTCCAGGGGGACTTGCTCAAGACGGTGATATTGTAGCTGTATTTCTTTGCACGGCTCACAATATCTGACAGGGGCGCAGCGATGGTCTCGACATGACATGCGCCAGCTTCACTCTCGACTTTGAAAAACCCGCTCACCGGTTGGTCCTACGGCTGCAAAGGTTCATATGAGCCAGTCAAGATTGTGTCTCCACATGACATGGAGAATTTGGTGAGCGAACCTCGGTTTCGAATGGTCATTGGTGAGAGTGCCCAATGTCATCCAAGAGCATCTAGGTCCTCCAGTAGAGAGGTCAGAATAAGGGTACCCTTTTTTCTGTAGTCTATTTTAGTAGGGGAACCCTCCCCCAAAAAAGGTAAAAGGGCACTACTGGGGGACCTAGGCATGATAAGTGTTGCTCGTCCCAGCCCAGCCCCGTGAAACCAGGCAGACAGGACGGCCTCACTCTCCACGCATCTTACTTGGCCTAGCTGGGCATATGGGCAAAAAACGAACAAAAAGGACCCGGTGTAGAAGCCCTTCAGGAAGGGTTCCAACTTGGTCTCCTCAAGATAATTTTGGCTGTGGGTCAAAAATAGGTACCGACAAATGGGTTGCCCTGGTAAATGGAACCAGGGACTAAAACCTGCGGTCCATATCCTGGTGGTTTAATTGTGACCCGCAGCCAATTGGTGACAAGGGGAAACCCGGGGTGGCATTGGATGGACTCACGGCGGGCGGCGGCCATTTTGCTTCAATCAGGGTGTCTAATACTCCGGCCGCTAGTGGCGGGAACAAGACCGTGGTCTTGGTGTTTGGTTGGGCACCACTGGAAACCAAAAGAAAACCCACAAGTTGTCTCTGAGATGCAAATCTTACCCCGCTACTCATCATACCCGCTGTTTCAAGGGTGTATGTGAGTTCATACAAACTTTAGGTCCGGGGTGATATCATGACTAAATCTACGAGCGCCTCGAGAAACAAACGCTCCAAACGTGTTCTTGGTCCTTTGGCTTTTTAAAAGAACCCTCGGGAACAAAAAAGAACAAAAAACAACAACCAACAAAAAGAAACAGGGCACCACTCGGGAAACCAAAAGGACACCCACAATTTTAGGGCACGGATCCCCGCAAAAACAAAAGGGTCTGGGGGAAACCAGCGGCGAGCCGCCGGACCGATCCCGCCTCTGAACATCTGATTCATGTCCCCGGGCCGCAAGGCCGGGTGCTGGTCCATGTCCCTCGCGGAAAACCCAAAAAAGGCGCGGGGCTTCGGAAGTTTCAGGGGGAACCCGCTGGGCCGCAAAAATTTGAGGGTGGTGGACTTTGAATTGATCCCCACCTATTCAAGGAGCCAAGAATCTGATTGCAGAGGGTGGACATTGATCCCCACCTGAACCATGTCCAAAGGGTCGCTGATTAACATTGGTGGACATTGGTCCCCTAAACGTCCAAAGGGTCGCCCCTTGAAATGTTGAAGAACCCAAAGGCCACATCTTCCAACAGGAAGCCGTTCAAGTGCTCAAAGGTCTCCATCGATTTGCCCTGAAACCCCTTTCGCCGAGTCGCGAAAAAAACTTTCGTGTGGTTCCTTTTGCGGCTCCTTGAAATTAGGGCAGCTGTTCGGCGATCGAGCACGAAAATAGGCACAGGAGGCCACCCCGTGATCTTGAGCCCACGCCTTTCGGAGCTTTCGAGGGGAAATCCCCCGGCATTTTCGATGGAATACTGGCAAACTGTGGACAACAATACAACACAGGAGCAAATGCATACTCTCGCACGGTCAACACCCGCCCTGTTCGTGTGCTGCCTGCCCCGAAGCTGTCTGAAATCACAAGACTAGACAAGTAGCCCTTTCGTGGAGCCTGAGCCGAGTTTTCGGGAAACGCGTTCGAGAGCTTTCGCGATGGGCTTTCCTTTCGCGGAATAACAATTTTCAGGACAGCGTTTAGATAAAGGTCGTCGTGGGGCTTTTGATTCTCAGAAGGACAAATGTTGGTCTACTGGATAGCAATACCAGGTGCCCATTCAGCACGGGCGTTCAGCTTTTTTTGGGCGCTTAGGAACCGTCCCTGACGAGCACTTGCAGCTGCGGCTCGCCATACAGCTCTCTGTCCCCTTTGCAAACGATTTGCTTGCCCCAAATTGGACACGGATCCCGGAAACTGCAGAAGCTTGACTTTTGACATCGTATGGACCAATTTTGGAAAAAAGAAAAGCCCATGTGTCAACGTTGGTGAGGTTTAACGAGGGACACTTTGGTGCCCAAAAAAAATAGCTTGAGTATGAACAATCATACAGGGATCCTTACATTATACACCTGAGCATTGCCTTGTACGAAAAATCATACAGGGATCCTTACATTATACACCTGAACAGTGCCTTGTACATGGTGGTGTCCCTTTATTTTGGTGGAAAAAGCCAGGTTTATGGACAACATGTATCTTTTAAGGAGCCCTGCCATAGTCCGCGGATTCCATTGACTTTTTGCCAGGCAGCAGGAAGCGACGAGTACACCGCTGCTCCTGAGTCGCAAGGATGTCAGCTTCAGCCGGCGTCCATGGAAGTAACATCGAGCCAACAGGTGGCTTAAACGGAAAGTGCCCCCCCCAGGATTGATTTTTTTGAGACCCCCTCAACATGGCCAAATATTTTTTGATGCGTGGTATGTGCCTATGGGAAACCAGGTATGTGTTGAAATGGGAGGGGGGTCCCAGGGCCTCAGGGTCCCTTTCTTTTGCACGGCTCGCACTCACAAAATGTGAGCTTGACAAGACGCAGTTGACTGGGCCTCTTGCGTTCAAGGGCACCAGGGGAAATGGGTGTAGAGCAATCTGTGGATTTCCCTTAGAACCCCAAGAGTACTCTTGGAACTGTTACTTGTGGCCCTTCAGAACTACGCGAGATTCCACGGCACACATCATACTAAGCAGCCCTTGCCACCTTGTCGATCAAGGATTGCACGCTTTCCCACTCTCGGAAAACTGAATCTTTTGGCGTGCAAAGCTATGGCTCAAGGGCTGCCAAGCGTCCGTCTGCCGCAAGTGGCAGGCGTGGCAGCTTCTGGAACAAAAGACTGTCCTCAGTGAGACACGAGCCACGGTCAACAGATGTTTCCTGTGGACTGGGGCAAAATGGCCGTGTTACCAAAGGAACAAACATGAAGGCTGGAAGCGCCTCTTGCACCCAAGGCTCATGAAGCCAGGGTTTGTGACGCAACCCCCACTTGCAGCCTCACCATCGCAGGAACCCGTCCAGGTGTCATGGGGGATGTTGTCCTTGGCTGAACACACTCTGACGATACCTGCAAGTGCCCACTCACATCAGCCTTCCTAATTCCCTTCTCAACCACGCTACCCTCCAAACTCAAGCTGAGAGGGGGGGGTCGACCGCTTGAAGACTTTTCCAGCGACCAAGATAGCATTGAACCGTCCGAATGTCCAGATCCCAACTGACCTTGGGGTACATTTTTTTTAGGCAGCGTGTGAAGGCTTTTCTAGCGACCAAGATAGCATTTGTCTAATGACATTTCATGTGACACCCTTTCCTTCCTGACCTGACTAGAAAACGTTGAAACTGTTTGGCTCCGGACTAAAATGAACAAACTGCAAAGAATGAAGCCAAAAGAAGCCGCTATGGCTTAAGCTGCAAAGGCTTTTTTGAGCTGGCCCAGTTGCTCGAGCGAGTGTTCCGTAGGAGTTAAGATGAGGAATGGACCAGAATCCCTTCAAGGAAGCCGATTCAGCGGCTTTAGCGGGTGTTCAGCGGAAGGGTTCAGTTCGGGGGCCCTGTCATTCGAAGCAACCGGTTCAGTTCGGGGGGCCCAGACCAAACCCAGGGGTCAAGTGAGTCATAATCAAAGCCGGTATGAAAATGGTTGTAGTCCCAGAACCATGTAAACAATTAAGAAGGCGGACATTTCCGCAACTATTTTTCTGGCTGGGACTGCCCCGTGCTAACCTTCATCTACCCGGGTTTGAGCCGGTGGCTCATGTGAAGATCGAGCTCACATCTGCAAATTGCGTTTGTCAAGTACCAAAAGAAGGGAGAAGAAGGGAACGCTCAACCCATGGCCCCCAGAGCCAAGTCAAACCCAGGGGGCACAGCTCGCGATCGCCGCCAGGAAGGCCTCGTCGATGGTGAGGACGATGCGCCCGGGGAACATCCGCACGGCGGCGATGACTTCCTGAGTGCCTGGATGGTGAAAGCAAATCTCCCATGAAAACCGAGCCGCCCCAGGCTTTAGATGGCCAAAAATTAGCTCATCTTTCTTTTTGGAACTCGTCCATCTCAACAACTTCCATTTGCTTCAGTCCCCTGGAACCCTCTTGGAAATGGGGGTTCTGCACTTCCATGTTACTTGGTGGGAGGGTATCCTTTTCAGGTTGGTTTAAAAGAAACGCAAAAGGACTGCCGCCATGTTGATGGACAGCCTGTGGATGTTCAACCTTCTGACTAGTTTGTAACATTCTTTTGGTGTCTCTTTTTAAAGCGCAAGTGATTTTCACATGGAGCCAAACCCATTTCAGGGCGACCCCTGCTATCGTATGGCCAAAGCTGCTTGTGCGAGTCATGGTCTTCGGTCGCATGTCAAGCGCGCGTTGGTGGGCACTTCGGCCCGATGAGAACGAAAACAAAAGGGGTGAGAAGATTATCCGGACACCTTGTCAAGAAGAGACTTGAGGGTATTCAGAATAGTATCGCATTTAGCGATAGCATCATGTACAGTGTTGGTAACAAGCTGCGAGGAGGCCACAACAGTGCACTTGGCATGTTGAAAAGGAAAAAAAGGCGTTGCCGGCGACCGCAACTGTACCCACAAAGTGCACAAATAGGCACAGCAAGATGCCAGGAAGGCGTCCAGGCGTGTGCGACAAAACTGTCCAAAATAAGGCGGTTCTCCCAAGAGGTGCGAATGAAAGCCCATCTCGTAATAGCGCCACAAAATTGGACCGGAATGAAAGCCCATCTCGTAATAGCGCCACAAAATTGGACCGGAATGAAAGCCCATCTCGTAATAGCGCCACAAAGTTGGACCGGAATGAAAGCCCATCTCGTAATAGCGCCACAAAATTGGACCGGAATGAAAGCCCATCTCGTAATAGCGCCACAAAATTGGACCGGAATGAAAGCCCATCTCGTAATAGCGCCACAAAATTGGACCGGAATGAAAGCCCATCTCGTAATAGCGCCACAAAATTGGACCGCAGCAACCTTGAGGGCCTTTCGAATAGAAAGACCGTCGAGTGAAATCCAGAGGTCAAGGGGGACAGACTCGAAATGTCTGAGCTTCAGGGAATTCTGAACGTCAGTGCATATTGAAGGACTGCAAGGGTCCAGAACAACATCAGTATCGGGCGCGAAAGTAAAAGGCCGCCTGCGCGCAAGAACCAACGGGACAGCAGTCTTGCAACAAAGCCTCCGACGGAGGGTGAAAGAAGGGGTTGTTTCTGCAATTGGCAATGCGCAACACCACATCTTCAAAAGTCACATAAATGTTCAAGGGATGTTTGCCAGACGAAACGTACTCATCATTAATATTGCAAAGCATACGAAATGCAGCCGGGAGAATATCGTTCCTAGCCAGTCTCCACCCTTTTCGCATAGCACCAATGCTGGGGAAGCCGTTAAGAACCTTGAGGAGCCTAGGCTCAGCATGTAGTTGAGAACTGTCAAAGTCCTGAAAGTGCTTTTCCCAGAATATCTTGAATCGCCAAGTAATTTCCTTCATGGTGCTCTTGATGGCCCTGGCATTGTCCATGAACGGCACATCCGTACCGCAAAGAAGAATACAAAAGAGAGGAGATCCATCCAAGTGGGTTCTCGTCCGAGAAGGTTCGTACTTGGTCCAGCTCAATACAGGTGGAAATAAATTGAAAGTCACGGAGTTTGCCTCCCCAAGAAATCCACTGGGTGGATTTGGTGAAGGGGTGTACCATAGTGGTCATGCAGGAATTGCCGGCGTCTTGATTGGCAGTATTACCAGCAATCAATCTCAGGGTTGACATGATCTTGGTTTGGCAGGGGCCTGGCATCGGCTCTGTCATGAATGCCAATAGAAAAAAGGGCACGGTTCTGAATCTGCTTCCACTGTTGTTTTGTCTGTTCTGGAGCATGAATGCTACAAACAAGAAAATGACTCATATACGCGGGCCAGGAATTCCATTGGCGCCACGGAGTGGTCCAACTTGCTCTGAGAAAATCCCAAAAAGGGCATTGCCAAAGCACATGCTGACTATCAGCCAGCTCATGATCACAGGTTGGACAGTGAGGGTTGCTAGCAAAGGTCTTCTGTGCGAGTCATGGTCATGGTTCCCTTTCCTTTGTCTAACATCACTGTTAAGGGGGGTGATGACCGTCCCTCCCAAAACCATGTAAAAGGATGGTTTGACCGTTGTACATATGAGCCAGGGTCAAAATATGCGGTCCCCGTGAAGAACACGCGAAAATTAGAACTCATCCCCTGGTTTTGGTGGGACAATTAGAGCTCCTCACCCCATATCCTTCCCAAATAGACTATAGACTGCGACAAGTCTTGGCGCAACTTCAACCGGAATGAATCTTTGTTGGAAAATGAGCCGTTTGGTGGGCAAGCAGGGGGTGAATCTCAAAACCCTTTTTGGAATCGGAGCTTTTCATTAGAATAGGGGAGTTGAATCTCAATCGCAGGCGTGAACAGCTCCTGGCCATTTTGAGCTCGGTAATCTGGTCTGATCGAAAACAGGGATTCTCGAATCATCTCGAATCCTAATTCGTAATCCATAGTGCGGCACTACAAGCGAAGCAACCTCAATCCGGTTCGGATGAATGACACCCTACGATACCTGAATAATCAGGCTACAAACTGGTGCAGCCTTCGAGAGACCTCAGAAATGCAAGCGTCTCGATTTACCCACAGCCACTTGGTTTCATTTTGGGCATAATGTCCCTCAGTCTCCTCCAGCCGCAACCCGAGGCCATATTTTTCTAAAAACCATAGAGGGAAGGGGGACAATTTCACAGGCAAAGCCTCTGCATGTGAAATTGTCCCGGACAACAATACTTGGGTGTGGATCAAAATTAAAGAGCTACGGTTTTATAGTCTTTGGTTCCATTCACCAAGTTGCCATTTTGGTACCACTTGTTTGAGCCACAGCCACTTGTTTCCCCAAGAAATGCCCTCCCAACATAGTCTTCCCTTCATCTCGCTAGTTGCTCATGGCAACGGACCCTGAAAGGGAAGTTTTGCCCGTAAGCATGCCTTTCTGCAGGCTGTTCAATCACCCGGAAGGAAGCTCGGATTGAAATGGGACAGTGTCAGCGCCCAAACAAGTCTTAGAAAAGGACTCCATCCGGGCCGGGTGAATGAGCCCTCAGCCCCAGGTGTGCTAGAAAAGGCAAGAGAGATTCCAAGGGGTGACAAGTGCGGCTCCATCAACTAAGTCAATCGAGGGATACCTGGTGTTGGTTCCAGCGGTTTTCAACCCGTTCCCAACACCGAGCTGACTTGTGGTTCTACCAACAAGGTCGCAATTTGTTTTTGGAATAGGGCCATGAAACCAGGTAGTAAACTCCCAATATGAGTGTCTCCAAATGAGGTTGAAAACCCAACAAAATGATGGCTTCCGATTGAATTGAAACTATGACAAGGGCCCACCCCCCCAAGTCACCTTTTGTGACGCCCATTTACTAAAAGGTACCCTCAGGGGCGTTCATCGCAATCCCCGCCTGCGTCCCTCAGCTGGAAGACGTGGTCCTGGAAGGTGCTAAGACCCAGGCCTTTGTCGAAGAAGATCTCACCTCCGGGAAAGGATCCGTCGACGAGGGGAAGCCCTGAATTGAACCCTGAAACTAGGGGAACCCTCAATTGAAGCCCTGAAACTTGGACGGGTCTGGCTTAGGTGACTTCGGGCGTTAGGTCGGCGCTCCCTCAGTGAAACCTCATATTCTTGGGGTGGTAACCACCCCCCAAAAGTGAGTATCCTCAAACTCAGAGAGGTGCTGCCCGAACGCCATGCTGTGGGCTCCAGCCTTGAGCCCCAAGGCAATCGCCGGAAGGGGAGTTATGATCCCAAAAAAGGGGCGATCGGGCGTCCTTGTAGGTGATAAGCCTGATTTGTTGTTTCCCCCACTGAACGGAGACTTCCAACCGTTGGCTTCTGTGGGTTCTCGCACCATGAAGTTCTTACCCACACACACACACACACTGGACCTACGCCCCCTTTCTCCCGTCAGACCGGGTCTCACCACCGGCAAAACACTTCGTCTCAGGCGAAAAACTGGCAGAAGCTCTTACCCACCCATATGCGCCGTGCCGAATACCCATCGCTTTTCCGTCCCGGGTCACCCACAGGCAGCTGCTTCCCATCGGCGCTCACCCAGTACACCGCCAGGGGCCCTCGCCCCGGCAGCTTGTGCCAGATGGTGCCTCCGCGCGGATTGGGGCGCGGCCCAAACTTGGGCTCCATGAAAAAAGACCACCCCGTTTCAACAGCTGCCCCCAAAAAACGAGCTCAAAAAGAACAAACACACTCCCCAAAAAGACGTCCCGCAAACAAAACGAGTTAAAGGACACTTCCAAAAGGCTACCCAAACAACCTAAGGGGTACCTGATAGAGTCAGAGGTGTTGGATCAGGGAAAAATGATCAAACACAACTCGAAAAGGAAAGCAGCCAAGCCGGGTCTCACTGGTTGCATTTCACCAGCCTGAGCCAAGATATCCATTAAAAAAAACCTTCAATATTCAACCCAAGGTAACCTGTTTCCGGATACACATACCTGCCCAAAGAACGTAGAAAACCACCAAAAACCCTGGGAAAACAGCGGGTTTTTGGAAAAGAACGATGGTTGAAAAGAATGGAAAAGGAATCAACCCCTACAACCTTCTGTTTTCCATGTCTGGTCCATTTTGGGTCAAGGTCCCAAGTGGACCTTTTACTTCCTGGAAAGAATGGGAAAGCTACCCTTAGAAAGGTGCTGGGCACCTGAGTACCACATACGGCACATCTCTCCGCCACGTCGCAATGCATCCCGCCGCTCTCCTGGGCGCGCTCTCGCTGCGATTGGGAAAGCCCAGCGGCACGGCTTGCGACGCGTTCCGATCAACTCGCGGCCACGGTGTTGAAATTGCAGACGTTCTCTTGATTTCGCTTTGGAACCATCCCAAGTCGGCTTCCCAACTGTTTCAAAAGGGCTTCTCTCTGCAAATTGGTTCCCAACCATCTCCAAAGGGCTTCAATGGTTGGTTGGTCTTCCAAAAGGGTTCCCTCCGATAAACGGCCATTGGTGCTAGCATTGATAAAAATGGCTCGGCCTCAAGAGCCGAGGGGCTGGATCCGGCACATCTACTTCGACAGTGCAGTAGTCCTGCGTCGCCGAGAAATGAAAACACAGAGCTGGGTGAATTATAAGATTTCAGCCTGAAATACGGTGGTTTGGGGGCTATTCCCCACAATAAACCACCATTTGGGGTGAGGTTGAGGTCGTGTGAGGTCGCTGGAATTCACCCACCCAGACATATTGATGGACACATCCACAAAAGGCAGCGGTCGGTAGGTCAGGGTTCCTCCTTTCCAACTGGTGTAGGAGTTTGTCGATCCACTGTATCTCCGCCACTACTGGACGTTTCGACCGAATCTCACGTGGTCATCTCTTAGTTTTAGGCTAAACATTCCAGACAAGCTGGTTCGGATGCCCTATTCTCAATATTACCACCAGAAGCCGATAGGACATGGACTGCCCACCACCGCATCCTATCAACCTTCAAAACGGATAGGGGCCTACCCGACCCAAACTGATACCCTGGGAACCAACAAACCCTAAACCCCCAATTACTGCTCACGGCGGCGGCTAAACCATAAACCTAAACCCTAAGCTTGAACCCTAAGCCCAGCAGGTTCTTTGAATTGGGTGGGAGTTACCACTGGGCAGTATAGGCCGAACAAGGAAAGCCGGACTGAGATGCATAGTGGATTTCCGTGCGCAAAAGAAAAAGGCACCCTTTGTTTCCTTGCTTGAGTTCAAAGGAGAAAAGGGAACCCTTCACCAAAAAACAAGTTGAAACAAACAAATGGAAGCAAGCCACTGGGCAACAGAGTTGCTTTTAGATCTTTGGAGGCCATAGTTTCTTACGGAGTTGCTCCAATTGGATGGCAAATCTCTCTGTGGAAACGCGTCTGGAAAAAACACATGTTTTCTTGGTTTGATTTTGAAGACAAGACCGGGAACCCTTCACCCCAAAAAAATGGAAGAAGAGAAGCAACCCACTGGGCCACCGAGCGGGGCACCGAGGCGCCCCAGATCGCCGCCCCTTCGCCCCTTCGCCTCGTGGGCGCCGCGGGCGCTGCAGAGGTGGGCCTTGCACTTGCCGCAGCTCAAAGGACAGCCGTGTTGCGCCCAGTCCTCGAATCGAGTCGAGGCAAAAGTTGGAGCCAGGTTGGGTGGCTAGGTCCTCCGGATTTCAGAGGTTAGAAGTTGGTACCGTTTCTTTTTTTCGGTTTAGTCTAGTGTAGTAGGGGCTTGCCCTCCACCAAAAAAGGGGTGAGAAAGCGCACTACTGGGGGACCTAGTTGGTTGATTGACTGACTGACTGACTGACTGACTGACTGACTGACTGTTTGACTGACTGACTGTTTGACTGATTGATTGACTGACTCGCTGGTTGATTGATTGACTGGCTGATTGATTGGCTCAATCAATCATTGGTTGGCTGGCTCACTGACTGGTTGATTGATTGACTGATGCTTTATTGCTGGTTGATCACGCATTTTTGTTGGCCAAGCCCAGTACAGTGGTTCTGGAGGTGAAGTGCAGGATCCTCTGCTACGCGTATGTCAGATGCTTGACTTCGACCTAGCTGAAGATTAAGCTCCGGTTTGCCTTTTGACTGTTTCTTTTTTGGTTCGCAACAAAATATGGCCTTGGGGCCTAACCTGTGGCTCCATTTTTGGGGTGGATGAACATCCATTTGTCACCTATTTTGATGTTCACCAGGGGTACAGGGTTTTGACCCACAGCCATATAAGCCCAAGGACAGGCTCAAACGCAGCAGTTCGCAGTTGCAACCGGCGACCTTTCCCCGCTTACAGGGAGCCCCCCCCAATACCTCTTGGAAGGGGCCAAACTGCAAAACTCACGAAGAAGGGTCACGATCGGGCCACGGCCCCTGACAAAGTATCCGTCATCCACAGAACAGTAGACGAACATGGAACTCCATGTTGTAAGATGAGCTTTGCGGAAAACCGACCTGGACCAAGCGGCGAAGCACCAAAAACGGGTAACTGGTTTTTTTCTGGACAATTCCCTGCAATCTTCTTATGATGACAGAAAAATGAGAATGTGTCCAGAAGGTCAGATCCTGTGAGGGCCTGAGTGGGGTACTATCGATCATGAAGCAATACTGGTGGAAATCTTACCCGCTTGCATTAAACAGATTTGACCCACTCATCGTTGTTCAGACTCCTGTGATGCTCCCTTCCAAGGGGGACCAGGTGGCTGTTGCTTGGACATATTTTGCCCAGCCACTAGTGTTGAGTAACGCAACGAATGGTTGAACATACCGCGCCTTTCGCAGGCTCAATGGGTTCCATACTCATACTCCCATTTGAAAATACGGGTTTTCCGGCGCAACAGCTTTCCCTCGCACTACACAGAAGTCTGAGGCAGGTCTGTGCTTTTCAACATTTTTCAACCAACCCTCCCGTACAAACCTTGGTTCCTTCGCCGACGCGAAAAAATACTAATGCTGAGAAAGACTCCGAGGGATCCTCACAGCGGCCCTCCAAGGACCACTTGTAGCAGTTGTTGCTGATGTCGCCACATCGCCTTGGCGGAACGCTCAGCGCCGATTGGGAGATGGCTCCAGACCCTTCCGAAAATTGCCGGAGATGCTCGCTGGCCACGGGGGGAAAAAGGGCACCCTCTTTTTCTTGGTTGAGTTGAAAGGGGAACCCTTCACCACAAAAAGGGACAATTGCTTTACTTCTTTGGGGGCCATAGTCTTCCAAAAGGTCCAATTGGATGGCAAATCTCTTTGAGGCGCGTCTGGAACCGGAGCCGAAGCTAAGCTGGGCACTCATATGCAGTCGATAGGGCCAGTGTTGCCAAGAGTAGCCTGGCCACTCATGCGGCGTTCGCAAAAATCCCAGGCTCGGGGCCGAAAGTCAAACCCCCGCAGAGGGGGCGGCAGCTTGCAAGACGTTACATGGGTCTGTCCTTTTGTTGGGGGAACCCCCAAAATGGGTGGGATTCCGTTTGTCCCTTTAAAACCTCCAAGAAAGGGTACCCTCAAAAGGTACACGCCACGCCCACCTTGACCTCTCCAAGCCTTGATTGCTCGCTTCCAGTTAGAATGATGTGATCCTTTGGAGCTTAAGGGGTCGCTTGCAAGAGCTTGAAATCTTTTGGGCCGGGCATAACCGCCAATTCAGGGGCAAAACAGCACACCAACAACCAACTGGTCGCTTCGGCTCGCCTTGAGCCGAACATTACCGGGGCTGCAAATCCTACAAAAGCCCTAAATTTGGAATAGTAGGAATGCCACCGTCGTGGGATTGGAACGCCTTCTCTTTGCATGAGGATGGGTGACAAATGGGTGGTCCATGTCCCCCCAACCCATCGGCCAGTCACATTGCCCGTTCCTCATATGAGGAATCCTGGCCCTGGGGGGTTGACTCCTCTCTTGCTGCATAGCAAGGAACAAGAAAAACCTTGCAACCAACTTACCGTGGTGTGTGGGTTGCTTCATTCAAAATGGGGAGACCCGCGCAACACTTGGTTTTCCATTGGAATTTGTGTTGAAGCAAGCCAATCTTGGGTGCCAACTCCAAACACAACATGTGTTTGTATGTATGTACGCATATATGTATGCCTGTCTGTCTGTCTGTCTGTCAGTCTGTCTCTGTCTGTCTGTCTGTCTGTCTGCCTGTCAGTCTGTCTCTGTCTCTGTCTCTGTCTCTGTCTCTGTCTCTGGCTCTGTCTCTGTCTCTGTCTCTGTCTCTGTCTCTGTCTCTGTCTCTGTCTGTCTGTCTGTCTGGCTGGCTGGCTGGCTGTCTGTCTGTCTGTCTGTCTGTATGTATGTACGCGTGTATGTAATGTGCGCATGTATGTATGTACGTACGTACGCATGTGTATATATATATATATATATATGTATGCATGTCTGTCTGTCAGTCAGTCAGTCAGTCTGTCTATCTGTCTGTCTGTCTCTCTGCTTGTCTGTCTGTCTGTCTGTCTGTCTGTCTGTCCGTCCGTCCGTCCGTCCGTCTGTCCGTCTGTCTGTCTGTCTGTCTGTTTTTTTTCTGTCTGTCTGTCTGTCTGTCTGTCTGTCTGTCTGTCTGTCTGTATGCATGCATGCATGCATGCATGCATGCATGTCTGCATGTATGTTTACATGTAGGTATGTGTGTATGTATGCATGTATGTACGTATGCATGCATGTATGCATGTATGCATGTATGCATGCATGCGTGTATGCATGTATGTATGCATGGATGCATGTTTGCATGTATGTATGTGTGTGTGTGCATGTGTGCATGTGTCCATGTGTGCATGTGTGTGTGCGTGTATGTGTGTCATGTATGCAAGTATGTGTGCATGTATGCGTGTATGCATGTATGCGTGTATGCTTTATGCATGCATGCATGTATGCATGTATGCATGCATGTTTACATGTTTGTATGTAGTTGTGTATGTATGCATGCATGCATGCATGCATGCATGCATGCATGCATGCATGCATGTATGTATGTATGTATGTGTGTGTGTGTATGTATGCATGCATGCATGCATGCATGCATGTATGTGTGTATGTATGTATGCATGCATGCATGCATGCATGCATGCATGCATGCATGCATGGATGGATGGATGGATGGATGGATGGATGGATGGATGGATGGATGGATGGATGGATGGATGGATGGATGGATGGATGGATGTGTGTGTGCATGCATCCATGCATGCATGCATGCAAGTATGTGTGTATGTGTCTGTGTGTCTGTATGTCTGCATGTCTGTATGTCTGTATGTCTGCATGTCTGCATGTCTGCATGCATGTATTTATGTATGCATGTGTGTACGCATGTAAGTAAGTATGTATGAATGTATGCATGCATATATGGGTGGATGTATGCATGCAAGTATGTATGCATGCATGCATGTATGTATGTGTAAACATATATATATAATACATATTGCACGTACTGCAAAATAATATATATATATATATATATATATAATGCACAGGATATGTTGACAGATTGATACATATTTTGGGAACCTATCTTACCTCAGGCAATCTGCGACCGCCCCAAGCCCCATCCAACAGCGCGCCTCGCTCCGGAAGCGGAGCAAAGCCCCATGGCATGCCGTTCCCCGCGTCTGCTGAGCTCTTGACTTACCCCTTTGATTTGGAATTTATGATATGGGTATGGCTCAAAATTAAACCACCAGAGGACCGCTGGTTTAGTCCAGGTTTCCATTCATCACGGTTTCATTTTGGGTACCAAATTTCGAGCCACTGCCATATAAATACCCATGAAAAAAAGGCAAGTAAGACGGAAAGCACAAGGACACCGCAACAATTTTGAGGATTATTTGAAGAAACGCAGAAAACGCTTTCTGGGTTGTTAGCCCCCGGCAAAAGGCGTGATCGGCCTTTTGCAGGTTCAAGCTTTCAAAGCATGTGTAAATTAAAAGACCTAAGGGGCGATTTGGTGTCACAGCATGAAAGCAACAAACAAAATGCCCAAGCGTTTTCCAACGGTCTTCAAAAAGTCCGATTGACGAGCAGAACCAAGAACAACTTCCCCTCACAATGCTCGCATTGAGTCGATCATATTTTAGAAACATGTTTTCCGTGGTCGATACCTCAAGCGAGAAAGGGGCATGAAACTTAACCTTTGTATTTGAGTATTTTTATGGATCCTGCACATGGGGGGGTTCTACTTCGCACCAATTGGTTGGCAATTTCTCAGTAGCATCTTGGCCTTTGGACGCCTTCCTTTCAGCAGTTCAGCTCTAGATATCCATCTAGATGTTTATCTAGTTTGTGTTTGATGCATCAGTTTGATTCAGCTTGTCATGCTATTTGCTGGTCTGGCCACATGGGTTGGAGGATGGATGTCAGTCTTGGGCTCACTTGCCGCTTGATCCCCTGACAGCGAGAATCTCCCACGAAAAGCATCAGCTCTGCAAACTTTGCAGGTGCAACGAAACATAACCCCGCAAACTAGTATGTGAATATGCAGGGGAGCACAAGCCATGGCCACGTACCAAAAAAAACCAAGAGGAATATGTGTCTGCAAATCTGAAGCTAGGCGCCACACCTCTCGAGTTGCCGCAGTTGCCTCAAGAAAAGCCGCAAGCCCCTGCTAACCCTTGACAAGGCCTTCTTGGCTGGTCCTGGGCTTCTCCCGGGATAGCCCCGCCCCCCCATAGACGCCCTGGGGATGACAAAATCATGTTGAACTATTCAGCCCATGTTGCAGCCAACTTGGAAACTCCCTGCATGAAGGCTGGGCTGGACGTGTCATGCTCTGCGTTCCTCCTTTGCAATCTCAATTTCGGTTTGGCTCAAAAATTTAAAGAGCTAGGGTTATGCATAGTCTTTGGTTCCACTTGCCAAGGGTGCGATGTTGGTACATGTTTTTTTGAGCCACAGCCATTCTGCTCAGTGCTTTTCCTGTGGACATCTCAACTCTCCTACGGAAAGGGGACGATTTGTCCCTGCCCTTCAAGGGGCCTGACTGGAGGTGGGGATGTGCCAAATTCCTTTTGATGTCCTACACCAATTTCTGAAAATGGCACCAAGCCCAAACAAAAACACATGCCCATATGGCCCATATGCATTTGTGGCTTTTGGAATTGGCACCTGTCTTGTGGTGGGCTCATAACATGTCAAAAGCCAAACCCTCCATATTTGGGATCCAACGAAACACACCATGCGGAAACTCCCGGCAGGGGTTTGGCTCCCCATGTCTACTTGATATGGGTATATGTCCAGATAGGAGGGCCCGACCGTCTGGGTTGTCCGCGTTTCCACTTCACCCAAGGTGGAAGAGGGTAGCCTCAAGCAAGCAAACACCCATGCGGACGGACACAATCCTGCATTGGTGGAAAATCCCAGTAATAAGAAGCCTCATCCATCCCAACTGGTGCGAAATGGATTGCGTCCACGCTACTTCGGCAAAAGCTATTGGGGATTCATGTCCCCCACTTTGACATGAGGCTTCCCTCTTACAATGCATAGCCATAATATAATCATGTGCCAATCCAGAGAAACACCCAAAGTAATTTCTGGTTCCCTGCCAAAATTAACCACATAGCCAAAGAACGTGTCCATCTAGAGAAACCCCGAAACCACTGGGCGTTTCCTCATTTCCCTTCAAACCAAGCCCAAAACCGGGGCCTCATTCCGCTCCGTTTCCCTTGAAACCAACCCCAACTAGGTCCTCTGTCTATTTTAGTCGGGGCTTGCCCTCCCAACCAAAAAAGAGCAAAAGGGCACTACTGGGGGACCTAGCCAAAACCACCGCCACCGCCCCGCAGCCCCGCACCACCCCTCCCCCCCCGCGCATCTCTCAGCCCGCCGCTGCAGGGCCTTGCCGCCGTGCAGGTGCCGCGCGGCAGCGCTGAAGTCCAGGACCTTCACGTGGCTTGGGGGCTTGGGGGTCCATGTTGTTCCATAGGTTGCAGGGTTGCGTGGCCATTTTTTCATGAACCGATTGGATGTAGGGAAGGATAAATGGAATGAACCTGGGGATGCCCTTAAACGAACCCCCAAGTTGGATGGTTTCTTGGTTGCTGCAACGACCCCCCTGCAAAAAGTGTTTCAACTTTTTGGCGGGGGTTAGTGGAAAACAGCCCAATAGTTCAACCAAAAAGTAAAAGTCTAAAGATGCGTTGCCCAATAGCAGTCAAGTTTAAAGGGCTATAATCCAGGGTTGCTTGTACAGACCCCTTTTACACACCCCAGTGCGCAAATGAAGCCCTGCGAGGCCTGGAAAACGTCAAACCAAGTCAGTGCAGAAAATGAGACATTCAGATTTTACACACCCCTTGCGCAAATGAGACCCCTTTCCCCAAAAAGGGTATATGTTCCTTGTAAGTGGGATGGAAACTAGGGAAGCAAGGGGGTATGAGCAAGGGAAGCCTTGAAAGGAACGTCAAACCAAGTCAGTGCGGAAAATGAGACGTTCAGATGTTGTTTCATACTTGGTCCTTCCTGAGATAGCCTGAGATATAGAATTATTTAAAATAGTGTGGAGGAGGACCCAAACAAGAGTCTTTCCCAGTGGATAAACCCGAGCCAATAAGGAACAATTTCTAGGGGATCCATGGTAGACTGGTATTGCTATCGATGGTTACAACATCCACTTGTGCGAAGAAAAGTATGCCCATCCACGGTATTACTCACTTGTCCAAAGGACATGGACATAAAAACGAGTCAGCCTTTTGGGGCTTTGCATAAAGGGTGGGGTGCTAGCTAGTTTGCTTTCTGATGTGTTCTGTTCAACTTTCCAAACGATATGGTCGATATGGTATATGAATTGTGAGAAGGGCTCTATGGACAGGAGAATGGGTCTATCAAAAAGCCAGGATATAAACTGGGGGAGACTGGGCGTATGAACAAACCCTGGTTTGACAAGGGATGGACCTATTCAACAGGGCCTTTCAACAACCTGAGATATCAAGCATTTTCTTGGAGGGGGGTAGCTCCTTTTAGGGCACCCATGTTCCATAACCAAAGCAGGTTTTCGTGCCTCACATCAACCCCGCGCGCCGGGATCCTTCACTTTTTCCTTTCCAAACGGAAGGACCCAGCCGAGTCTCCAAATCCGTGGCTTGTGTGTTTGGGGTAGATTTGTCCTGGTCGGAACAACTGGGACCTGTGGAAGCAGGAAGCAGAAGATACCCAAGGACCAAGGGATTGATAATTTGGGCGGGCAGATGGTGTGGGCAGCCCTTCCCTTTCAACATTTCCTCTGTGAAACATCACACCAGAAGGAAACTTCTCCGCTCCAATTTTCCCAAGTCCACTTGGAAGAACAAAATCTTGCACATGGCCAGTTTCCATCAACTCCCCTACGGCCCTCTCGGACGGGTCCGGAAGCGTGATTCCAGAGGATCTCAGTCTATGCCAGCCGCTTCGAACGCGTTCGCGAACGCGTGCCATATTGCCATTGATGATTGTTGGGGTGATGTTCAAGGATCCAGGGTAACAATAAGCCCATGTAGGAACCATCTCTAAACTGATTGCCGGCAACCGAAGGGAAATCTGGGGAACCCTAAAAACAAATCAACAAAAAAAGCTTTGAGTGGATCCCACGTGCGACCCGAAACACACTCGGGCGAGCCCTCGGGCCTCCTTTGAGACCCGCGAAGTTTTGGCCTGCGACGGAGCGTGGGGGGACAAACCCCCACGCGCCAGCTGTGCAAACCCAGGGCTAGGCATCCCATGAGTAGGTGACCCAGGCATTTCTACCGGGATTTACTTTCCGGGGAAAGGACTCGCCACAATGAGGCGTTCAACTGAAATGAACAGCCAACTTGAGGCTTAGAACTTGGAGGTCTACCTCACCATGGTGGGTTCTAGCCATGGTTGCGTGTCCACCGACTAAAGTGATCTGTTGTGGCCCTCTTGAAGCCCTGGTTATGGCCTGCTTAAGTGACGTAAATTGAAAATCCAAATAGGGCCCAGGAGGGGAACAAAGGGAAGTCCCTTCAAACATCCACGCTGATGCTTGACATTGGAAGGCTTTGTGCAACCTAGCAACAGGATTCCCACATGTTATTCTTGCACATCACCCCTACCAAGAAAAACTCAGCTGAAATGTGCCAAGCAGATGAGGTCGAAAACCCACGGGGGAAAAAACAAAAAAAACGGGTTTGTCCCAACCATTCCTGGCTTCCCGTTGGCTTCCCTAAACAGAAGCCACAAAACGGCCCCGAATAGAAAACCAGAAACAAGATCATCTGGGTGTGAATTTCAGCTGACCCCGTGGACCTCAGAATTTCAATTAGGGATCCATGTCCAACCACTTTGGAGGTTGGGTTCCCCATGAAACAATATCATGGCCATATAGCGACGCAGCGACCCACCGCAAAAGGTCCATCGGAGGGCTTGGCCCAGTACCTCTCTGGAGGCACGGCGGCAGGCGCTCCATCGCATCGGACGCGGGAGATGCGGGATTTGCGGGAAAGAGCCTTTCGGATTCCGGTACCCTGCAGGGTTTGGGGGTTGGGGCTTGGGGCTTGGGGCTTGGGTGTTGGGTGTTGGGGGTTGGGGGTTGGGGTGGAGTTGGGTTGGGGGGTGGGTTGCGGGGTGTCAGAAGATATAAGGGACGGGGTCTGTGTGGTT